ACCCTGAGACACAGCAGTTAATGGCTCCAGTAACTGGGTCTCTGCAGCTCAGGTGGGAGACCTGGATTGAGTGCTTCAGCCTGGCCCAACCCCAACTGTGGGCATTTAGGGAGTGAACCAAAGGATGGGAGATATTTCTCTCATAAAGTAATAATTTTTTAAGGGAAACAGGGGTGGGCATTTCGTGCAGCAGTTGTGTTGCCACTTGCAAGGACCACATCCCATCCTGGAGGGTGTGCTTTGAGTCCTCCATCCTCTGCTTCCAATCCAGCTTCCTATTCATGTGCACCTGGGAGATGGCAGATGATGGCGCACGTGCCACCCACATGGGAGATCCAAATGGATCTAGTTTTTGGGCTGGCCCAGCCCTGACTGTTGCAGGCATTTTGGGAGTGAATCAGCAAGTGGAAGATCTCTCCATCTGTCTGTCTGTCCTTTAAATAAAATGAAAATAAATGAAAAAACATACATGACTATGACATTATTTGTCACCCCAGATTGGCAAAGATTAAAAATACTCATTGCTGGCAAAGGCATGGAGAAATATGCAACATGTATAAAGTAATAGAATTTTTAACCTTTTGGAATCTAATTTGCCCATGTTTATTCACAATTTAGGATATGACTCCTAGAAATTCTATTTCTAGACATATCCTGAAGAATTACACAAATGTACTTAGGTTCTTACAGCATTGCTAGTCATCACATAAAACCAGAAACAACTTAATATCCAATTAGGTGGGAATGCATCCATACAGGGATTATTACTGTATTGGTTATCTGTCATCATAAAACAAAACTACCCCAAAAGTCAGTGGCTGAAAGAAATAATAAACACTTGATTACCCTGAGTTTCTCTGTGTTAAGATATTTGGGAAGGGCTTCAGTGGGCCTTTCTGCCTTGGGATCTCTGATGATGTCATCTGGAAGCTAAGGTGGAGCTAGCACATCTACTTTCAGGATGGCTCACTCCCAAGGCAGGGAAAGTGGTGGTGGTGGTGGCTGCCAGAGGCCACTGGCTACCCAGCTGGCCCTGTCTACAGTAGGGGTATCCCCATAACATGGTATCTGACATCACCCCTCAGTCAGCAATCTGCAAGAGACCAAAGCTGAACAGTGGTGTCTTTTATGACCCAGTTTCAGAAGCTTTCAAAGTATGAGCACTCCATCAGTCACACAGAACAGCCATCATTCAGTGAGACAGGACTCTCCAAGGGATATGCCCAAGGAGCAGGGATCACTGAAGCTGGCATCTAGGCCGGCGCCGCAGCTCAATAGGCTAGTCCTCTGCCTGTGGTGCTGGCACACCAGGTTCTTGTCCCGGTCGGGGCGCCGGATTCTGTCCCGGTTGCTCCTTTTCCAGGCCAGCTCTCTGCTGTAGCCAGGGAGTGCAGTGGAGGATGGCCCAAGTGCTTGGGCCCTGCACCCCATGGGAGACCAGGAGAAGCACCTGGCTCCTGGCTTCAGATCAGCGCAGTGTGCCGGCTGCAGCGCGCCAGCCACAGCGGCCACTGGAGGGTGAATCAACGGTAAGGGAAGACCTTCCTCTCTCTCTCTCTCTCTCACTGTCCATTCTGTCAAAAAAAAAAAAAAAAAAAGCAGCAGCAGCAGCAGTAGCAGCAGCAGCTGGCATCTAAAAGCCAAACACCAGTTAGTCAGGTAAACAGAGTATGAGAAGAACACCCTGAGCTTTGGATGACATTTCTGTGAGTAGGAAGTGAAGATGAGGCCAGGCAGGTCAGCAGAGCCTGCCTCATGGCAGGACTTGCAAGCTGTGTTAGGGAGCTTAATAATAAAAGCAACAAGGCATTGGAGGATAGATTGTTGTTAGATCACTGTGTTTATTACATGCAGGGCAGACTGAAGGATTGGGAGCAGCAAACAGGACTGAAGGTAAGAAAACCAGGTAGGAGGTGACCAAAACAATCCAGACAAGAAATGGTAACTTGGATTAGTGACAGTTGAGATGTAGAAAAGATGGCAAGTTCTGAGGTAACTAAGAGATAAACTCAATAGGACTCAATGTTTGGCTGGATTACACAACTGGGAAGGGAGGAATCAGGGCTGGCTCCTAGGTTTTTCACTTGAGCAGTTATGCAAATGAAGCCCATGGAAGGAAAAGCAGATGTGGGGATAAGGAAAAAATCGATTTTTTAACCTGTTGAGCCTGTGGTGCTTGCACACATGGAAATGTCCAGTAGGCAGTGCACATTCAGCACCCGGAGGTCACGAGGTACACCTGGACATAAAGTCTTAGCAGTTATCAGATTAGTGGAAATTGGAATCATAAGCCAAAAAAATCACTGATTTTAAGAGGAAGGGGAGGCCAGCGCAGCGGCTCAATACACTAATCCTCCACCTGCGGCGCTGGCACACGGGGTTCTAGTCCCGGTTGCTCCTCTTCCAGTCCAGCTCTCTGCTGTGGCCCGGGAGTGCAGTGGAGGATGGCCCAGGTGCTTGGGCCCTGCACCCCATGGGAGACCAGGAGAAGCACCTGGCTCCTGGCTTTGGATCAGCATGATGCGCCAGCCGCAGCGCACCAGCCTCGGCGGCCATTGGAGGGTGAACCAATGGCAAAAGGAAGACTTTTTTTTCTGTCTTTTTTTTTCTCACTCTGTCCATTTTGTCAAAAAAAAAAAAAAAAAAAAAAAAAAAAAAAAAAAAAAGAAAGAAAGAGGAAGGGGAGCTGCAAAAGACTGAAAAGGAATTCCATAAAGGTAGAGAGAAGGAACTCCCGAAAGTCTTGTCACAGAAGGCAGGATTGATTTAAAGTGTTCATAATACTAAGCCAAGGAATTTATACAACTGAACACTGGGCGCCGGTGCCATGGCACAGCAGGTTAAGCCTCCGCCTGCGACACTGGCATCCCATATGGGCACAGATTCGAGTCCTGGCTACTCCACTTCCCATCCTTTCCCTGCTAATGCCTTGGGAAAAGCAGCAGAAAACGGTCCAAGTGGTTGGGCCCCTGCACTCACGTGGGAGGCCTGGGAGAACCTCTGGGCTCCTGACTTCAGCCTGGCCCAGCTATGGCTGTTGCAGCCATTTGGGGAGAGAACCAGCAGAAGGAAAATCTCTCTTCCTCTCTGTAATTCTGCCTTTAAAATCAATAAAATTCCAAACACGTGGCCTCAGATAAGCCAATAGAATGGGAGAGCTCTCACCCTTTGTAACCATAGATACTGCTATGCGAAGGATGTGATGAAAAGCCCTCATGACTTCCGGCACGGCACTTCTGAAGGTGTGCTGGGCACAGAAGTCACCTGGGCAGCACTTCAACTTCAGCCCCTGGCTTACCAGGTCAAGGGTACAGCCTAAGAGTCTGCGTGTCTCAGAAGGTGCCAGAAGATGGCCGTGACAGGTCACAGACCACACTCTGAGTAGCAAACTCTACTGAGCAGAGAATCAACTGAACTTTGATTCTGATTCGTAGGTCTGGGAGAGGGCCTGGTAACCAGCATTTCTTACACGCCCCCTGGTCATGGTGCTGATGACGCTGCGTCTCCCTCAGACCACGCTTCTCGTGCTGTACCACTCCACTCTTGCTGGCTCCAGCAAAGGCCAAGGAAGCCACCTGGGCCTCCAGACATAACGCAAGGACCTGCAGACCACCGAGGTCACAGTTCCTGCCCTTTAGCCTGCCTTCCTGACTCCTTGGCACACGGGAAGAAGTTGGGACAAGGGCCTATACCCATTTATCCAGCACCCCCGGCGATACTGTATCAGAACTCAGGACTCCTTGCCAAGAAGGTCAGCAGTAGGTGCCCGCCTCTTATCTAAAGTCCATCTTTTTCTTGCTTGGTAAAGCCATTCCATGAGAACTCTTTCCTGTATTCAAAGGGCTGCACCTATCACAACAGTCAAATCTCCCCCAATTTAAGTAGAAAAACCCTACGCAGGAAGAGGGAGAACTCTTATTTAAGGAGGAATCAACTCACGTATGCACTTATCACACACACAAACCTACTGTGTGTGAGGCACCTTCACGTGAGAGAGATACAGTCCCCGCCCTCGCGTCCACGTGAGAAGAAACCAACAACCACGTTGAAACCCAAGTGCCATCTGAAGAGCCAGCTGGCATTTTTATTACGGCCACGCAGCAGGCACCTCACACGGTCCCTGCAGAATGTCTGCTTGTTATTAAAACAGACACACAGAGAAGGCGAAAGATCTCCAGCAGGGTCGCAATTGGGGAAGGCTTCCTGGAGGAAGCATCCTCACACGAAGCGTTTGCACAGCCCACAGGTCCCAGAGGGCCGCTCTCAATTGAAAATAATAATAATAATAATAATAATAAAATGAGCCAGCCTGCTCCTTGAGCCTGTGTTGACAAGCAGAAGGTTTCACCTATTGTTTTTCGCGGTGTAATTAAGAGACCCAGGAATAAAACGCAGAAAGGGCCTATGCTGAGACAGAACCCAGAAAAGCCATTTTCTCCAGGAAGAGACGAAGGGGAGACCGCAGCAGGAACTCTCCCACAACCCGGGAAGCTGGGACAGGGCCGGCGGCCTCACCGCGAGTCCTGCGGGCTGAGGACCCGGCCAGCCGGCGGGCATAGGTTTCCAAAAGAATGGCCCACTGCGAAGCCTCCGTCCCGGGGGCTCTGGACGGGGCGGCTGCTCCCGACCGCTCGCCGACCTGCGGCGCCCCTTCCCCGGGGCAGCTGGGACGCTGCTCGCCAGAGCCACACCTCTCGCCTTGGTCAGGGGTGACGGGCGCCCGCGTAGCCAAACGAAAGTTTCTCGTCCTGCTGACCACATACGCGGCCGGACAGCTCAGCCGGCAATAAGGGGCGGGCACAGCGGGCGGAAGTGCGCCGCTTCCTTCCGGCCGGCGCCGCACGAGACTGGGCGGGGCGCCGCGGGAGGGGGCGGGGACTCGCATTGACGGACGGCTCTTCGGGCCTATGGATGCGGCCGCGGCGGCCCGGCCTTTCCCCGGCGCGCCCCTTCCCCGGGGCGGTCGACGCCCCTCCAGCCCCCCATTTGCAGGGTGTAGCACAAAGCTCCGCCGCCGCCTGCTCCTCCCTGTCCTCGCGGCGCGCTGCGGCCCGTCGTGCGGCCCCGCCCCCGAGGCCCTCGGCGCCGCCTCGCCCGGCCGGCCTCCTTCCCCGTCCGGAGCCGCGCGTGAGGACGGCTGAGGCCGCAGGTCTGTGGCTGCGTGTCGGGCCGCGAGGGGCCGCGCAGTCGCCAGGCTGCCGCGGCGGGCCCCGAGGGTCCCGCGGGGTGGGCGGGAGCCGGCTGCACCGTCGCGGGAGTCGCTCGGGGAGGCGCGGCCGCGGCGGCTCGGGGCGTCCCGGAGGGACCCGGAGCGCCCGCGTCCGCGCGAGAGGCGGGGTCCGGGCCTGGGAGTCGCGAGTGAGGAAGTTTGCGGGGCGACTTCTCCGCAGTTGGCCGCGGGGCGGGGCGAGGGCCCGGGCTCGGACGTGCGCGGCCGCGCTCTGTCCCGGGAGCCCCGGAGCAGGGGCGGAACTTCTCGGGCACCCAGGTGTGGGGATGCTGGGTGCTGCGCGCGAGCGGAGCGCAGGTGCGCGGGTCCGGGGCCCCGCGGCGCCCGGGGGTGCGCGGCCTGGTGTGGTCACTGTTAGGCACAGAGAACTGCTTGCCAGTCCCTTTTCAAGCGCTTAATGAGCTTTCCTGTTCATTTAACGGGGCAACTTTGTTTCACAGTTCCTGGGACCCTGGCGGTGCCTGACACGTAATTGGCCCAATCGTAGTTGTTGATTTTCTGTCTCCCCTTGTTAGAAGGTAGCAATGGTGGAATTTAAATAGCTGCCCCCTTTATAGAGGGCGTGACTTGAGGTTCGAGTCACCTCCCAGGTGTCCCCGCACCCCCACCCCGCAGTGTTCCAGCCTCTCGGTTTCCAGCGTTTAAAATTAAGTCTGCCTGCCGTGAATGAATGAGTTGTATCCTGTTGGTCCGTCCTGTCCTATCGGGCGAATGCTCTCTACCTGTAGCAATTAATAAACTGCTGAAACAAACATGTCAGGCTTACTGGTTGTATTTCATAAATGATGAGGAAGATGCTATTCGTCCCTGCGGGGAGTGAAGCCAGGTGTTCCCGGGAACTGGCAGCCGCTTACTCACTGCCAGCACACCCCCGCCTCCCACTCGCAGCTTCCAAAACCAGGCTCCGGCTCCCTGCCGTCCTCCCACTGGTGCTCCCCGGCAGAGCAGCTGCCCTGATTGGCACACCCCCGCCCGCAGCACCACTGAGGCATATCCCCGAGGCTGGCAGTGTGAATTGTTTTAGAGAACATTCGGATACCCAAGACAAAATATTTCAGCTCTTCTGAGCCTGCCTGTCAACAAATTTACTCTTGAATACCTCCCACGTGGTCAGCTCTGAGCAGTGCAAAGTTATATAAAACTGTCTAGTTATGTGACAAATTGCATGGTAACTGCCCTGGCTCAGGAAGGGAAAAGATCCGCAGGGAATTGGAGCTTCCTGGAAGAAGGGCAGAGGCTTGTCCCCGTCCTGGCTCCTGGCCGTGCCCGCCGGACAGCAGGTGCTTCATGACTGTGGTTACGTGCTTATTCCTGTTGTCCCCTGCGTAGCCTTGAAGGCTGATTTGGATGGGAAAGTGGCCCAAGTGGACTTGGGGAGCATGGATGGGTATAGAGTGTGTGGGAAGAGACGGTGATGACACGTGGATGGGCCATTCATGTCTGTATTGTTTGTAGGAGTGCTTGGAAGAACAATGCGTGTGAGTCTTTGACATGATGATATCCATCCGGCAGAGAAAAGAAATAAAAACCACAGAAGTTTCTGAGCATTTTCCAGTACAAGAAGAAAATGTGAAGTTGGAAAATAAAGTGCCATCTGGTAGGTGATTTAAACTTAAGCAGTATTTTGGATTGCTTTTATTCCTGTAAATTAAGATATTCTCCAATAGGGCAAAAATTAGATAGACCTACCAGTTGAATGAATATGTTCTGGTACCCTGATGACTCTGATTGCAGTCTGATTATCTTGGCTTTCCAGAGCTTTGATGAAAGCTGGTGTGTTGCTTTGTTCGTTAGCTTCCGGTCATATAAAATCTGATTCTTTGACTCTCTAAAGCAATGCTTGTCCCTGCCAGATTTTAGAATATTCCTAATTTTTTTGTCTTGTGTGTGTGTTCACCTAGTCACCCTGACCTTCTCAGCTAATTTCCTTATTTAAAATATTGAAAAATGGGGGCCGGTGCTGTGGCATAGCGGGTGAAGCGGCCGCTTGCACTGCCTGCATCCCATATGGGCGCCGGTTTGAGACTCGGCTGCTCCACTTCCGATCAAGCTCTCTGCTATGGCCTGGGAGAGCAGTTGAGGATGGCCCAAGTCCTTGGACCCCTGCACCTGCATGGGAGACCCGGAGGAGACTGGCTCCTGGCTTCGGATTGGCGCAGCTCCAGCCATTGCAGCCATCTGGAGAGTGAACCAGTGGAAGGAGGACCTCTCTCTCTCTCTCTCTTCATCTCCTCTGTGTAACTGTGACTTTCAAGTAAAATAAATAAATATTTTTAAAAAAATATTGAAAGGTGAGAGGCCAGCACTGTGGTGTAGTGGGTAAAGCTGCTGCCTGCAGTGCTGGCATCCCACATGGGCACCAGTTCTAATCCCAGCTGCTCCACTTCTGATCCAGCTCTCTGCTATGGCCTGGGAAAGCAGTGGAAGATGGCCCAGGTGCTTGGGCCCTTGCACCCACATGGGAGACCCAAAAGAGACTCCTGGCTTTGATTGACCCAGCTCTGGCCATTGTGGCCATTTGAGGAGTCAGCCAGTGAATGGAAGACCTCTCTCTGCCTCTGCTTCTCTGTAACTCTGCCTTTCAAATAAAATAAATCTTTTTTAAAAATTTAAAATGTTTTGTTTATTTTCTATGAGATTCCTGAACTTTTCTGTTTTTATTGAGAGGAGAAGAGGAAGGGAGTGATCATAACTTGGTAAATTGTTTGTATAATGCTGAGGATTTGAGAAGAGATATATCAGATGGCATTCATGACCATCTTTTCGCCTCTGAGTTACTTTCATAGATAAGCATAGTCAAGATTTGAAAAGAAAACATGAAACGTTTCATTGGCCACTTTGGATATCTCAAAGAATTTATGTTCTTTGTAGCCATGTTAATTCTTACCTGCCAGAGCTAGTAAAATAGCTTGAGGAAACAATTTAATTAAATAAAAATGATCTGTACTGGGAGGAGATGCTACCAGCAGCTACTGGATTGTGGGCAAAGTATTTTCAAAAGTACTTTTTTTTTTTTTTTTTTTTAACTCTGGAGGGAGGGCCCAGCAATTTACTTATTTATTTAGAAGATTTTATTTATTTGAGAGGCAGAGTTACAGAGAGAGGGAGAAACAGAGAGGGAGGTCTTCCATCCACTGATTTCACTTCCCATATGGCTGCAACAGCCTGAGCTGGGCTGATCCGGAGCCAGGAGCTTCTGGGTCTCCCAGGTGGGTGCAGGGACCCTGTCACTTGGGCCTTCTTCCACTGCTTTCCCAGGCCACTAGCAGGGAGCTGGATAGGAAGGAGAAAAGCTGGGCCATGAACTGGTGCCTGTCTAGGATGCTGGTGCTGCAGGCAGAGACAACGCACTGTGCCACAGTGTCGACCCCAAAGTACTTTTTGAACACCCAATGCAGTGGAAGTTCAAGTTTGTCTTCCTTTTAAATTAAAACATAATTTGGGGGATTGTTCACTTTACCCAAGAAATATTTACTCATGTCAGAAATTTTAAGAATCCTGAAAAGTAAAAGAAAAGTGAAAAAGAAGGAAAAGATACTCCCACTAAGCACCCATCCTGAGCCCGCCCCCATTGAGGCTTTTTCTTGTTGTCTTAGTGTTGTCTGCACACGCGTCCCCACGAACATTCATTTTTAGTTTTGCAAAGCAGAGATCTTCATACTGTTCTGTAAATCGTTACTTTTATTATGAGCATGAGTCAGTTTATTTAAAAAATAATGTCTCTGTATAGTCTACCATTGTGTAGCTGCAGCAGAACTTAACTAATTCCTTGTTGAATTCCTTGTTAAGATGGGATGGTAATCACCAGAAATGTGGTAAGTATCTCTGTGGCCCAGTGGCCAAGACTTTCATAATTTCCTCTAGTAAATGCCTAGAGGTGGGATTCCTGGTCAGATGGTGTGCCTGACTCGGTGGCTTTTACTCCCTATTGTCATTGCAGAGAGGTGCCAGTTTGGTCCTCTACAGCAGTGTTCGAAGATGTCTGTTTTCCATACATGTAGCAAATGCTATCAAATCAGCCAAGATTTATTTTTTAAATATTTATTTATTTGAAAGTCATAGAGTTATACAGAGAGAAAAGGAAAGATGGGGGTGAGGGGTCTTCTATCCTCTAGTTCACTCCCTAAGTGGCCACAATGGCCAGAGTTGCGCCCATCTGAGGCTAGGAGCCAGGAGCCAGGAGTTTGCTCTGGGTCTCCCATGCAGGTGCAGGGACTCAAGGACCTGGGCCATCCTCTGCTGCCTTCCCAGGCCATAGCAGGGATCTGGATCAGAAGTGGAGCAGGCAGCCCTACCTGCTGCGCCATAGCACCTGCCCCAAGATGTTTTTAAAGTATAGCTTGTTGTTTTGATTTGCATTTCTTTGACACTGCTGAATTGAAATGAATTTAAACATTGATTCTCTGTTGGCCATTTTGTCTTTCATGTGCCTATCCTGAATCTGTTTGCTACTGGAATGTTCCTTTTTTTAATTATCTTGAAGTATTTGTTTTATAGTAAAGATATTCATGGGCTACAAATATTTTTCCTGTTTTATATGTTTTTTGAGTTATTGTGGATTATGTTTTCCTGTGGACTTTCTAAAGATTTTAAGTAATCAAGTTTTTTGTCAGCTTTTAATGAGTAAACCACACATTGTAAGTAGATCATCTGAAAGGTTGCTTACATCCTAGATGTGTAATGCATTCTTTCCTCATTTAACAGTCTTCATAATTAAATGATAGTTGTTCATTGATGCTGGATATAGGCATAAATAAAGTCACGTACTTGTCCTTGAGATATTCACATTCCAGTTGGCAAAAAGGAAGCCTGGACAGTGAGGTACAGTGGAGTAGAAACTGTAATACAAGAGCAAAAGCAAGTTTGTGGAATCACCAAAGGAGCCTCAGATTGCAGGTGACAGGGGAGGTCTCACCAGTGACGGGCAGGTGGAAATGGTGAATTCTTTACTAACCCAGATATTACCTGTTTTGTGTTTTGTAAAGGTTGTACCAGTAGAAGATTATGGAAGATTGTATCATTTACAGTTGGTGGAACCGTTGCCCTTTGCATGGGACTTCTCACGTCTGTCTACCTTGCCACGTTACATGAGAATGATTTGTGGTTTTCTAATATTAAGGTATGCGGTTTCTATGACTATTGTATGATGTACTCATCAGTGTTGCCAGTAGTGAGCCATGTAGGTGAATGACTACAGCAGTGCGGTTTTGCTATGAACAATCTAATCTCAAGGCTTTGGTCCTTCCTGTTTTAAAATAACATATCAGAATTTTTATAATCAAGTGACTTTTCCTTTTCATAAACTTAATTCTGATTATATAACAGTTCCTCTAAACTACAGTATTTTTTTCCACAGTGGATTATGAAATTGGTGTAGTAACATTTTTTAATGAAATCAGAAAATGATGCTGTTATATATCATAGAGTTGAGAATTGTTTTGTGACCTTGTAATTGCATTTATGCATGTACAAACTGAGCCCCAACAGAAGTTTTTTTTCTGTTGGTTATAATGGGGGGAAGAAAAAAAAAAAATCAAAAGCCAGTACTTTAAACTGTGGTTTTTTTGTTTTTTTTTTTTTTAAGATTGATTGATTTGAAAGGCAGAGTGACAGAAAAAGGGGAGAAATGAACACAGATCTTCCATCTACTGGTTCTCTTCCTGAATGCCTACAATAACCAAAGCTGGAAAATGCAGTGAACCATAAAATGGGATTGCTCTTTCTGTCTCTATTCCCCCCTTACTGTCTTGCCACCTCTCAAAATATAAGTAAACAAATAAGTCAGCTTGTTTTGATGCATAGCTTTTTCATGTTAGCCATTTTCTTCTTTTTCTTTTTTTTTTCTTTTTGACAGGCAGAGTGGGCAGTGAGAGAGAGAGAGACAGAGAGAAAGGTCTTCCTTTGCCATTGGTTTACCCTCCAATGGCCGCCGCGGCCGGCGCGCTGCGGCCGGCGTACCGCGCTGATCCGATGGCAGGAGCCAGGTGCTTCTCCTGGTCTCCCATGCGGGTGCAGGGCCCAAGGACTTGGGCCATCCTCCACTGCACTCTTGGGCCATAGCAGAGAGCTGGCCTGGAAGAGGGGCAACCGGGACAGAATCCGGTGCCCTGACTGGGACTAGAACCCGGTGTGCTGGCGCCGCAAGGCGGAGGATTAGCCTATTGAGCCATGGCGCCGACAATGTTAGCCATTTTCTGTGAACTTTTTGGAGATCCCATTTGTGCATGGCTTTTTAAATTTTTTGTACCAAAATGAACTTTTTAATTGCATTTTCCATGAACCTGTTGAAGTACCCTCATGTTTCATGATCTCTTACCTCATTTACATGGCTTCTAATGATCAGTTGGTTGCAAAAGTCAATACTTACTTTCAAAGCCCAAGATTTATCATCTGTTATGAGACTCTTCAGGAGCGCTGATTGAAGGACAGGCGTTTGACCTAGCGTTTAAAGGTGACTGTATTCCCACATTGGGGTGCCTGGTCTGATGGCAAGCTCTGGCTCCTGACTCCATTTTCCTGCTAATGCAGACCCTGGGAGGCAGTGGTGATGGCTCAAATGGTTGCGTCCTTGTCACTTACATGGGAGACCTGGATTGAGTTCCTGACTTTGGCACCAGCCCAGCCCTGGCCATTGAGGGCATTTTGGGAGTCAACCAGTAGGAGGGAACTCTCTATCTCTTTCTCAAATAAGTAAATACAGTTTTAAAAAGAAGGAAATAAAAGGAATTGATGCAGTATCTAAAGGCATTTCCCGGCCAGCGCCATGGCTCACGAGGCTAATCCTCCGCCTGCAGCGCTGACACCCCGGGTTCTAGTCCCGGTTGGGGTGCTGGATTCTGTCCTGGTTGCTCCTCTTCCAGTCCAGCTCTGCTGTGGCAGAGAGTGGCCCGGGAGTGCCATGGAGGATGGCCCAAGTGCTTGGGCCCTGCACCCCATGGGAGACCAGGAGAAGCACCTGGCTCCTGGCTTCAGATCAGCGCAGCGCTGGCCGCAACGTGCCAGCCATAGCGGCCACTTGGAGGGTGAACCAACGGAAAAAGGAAGACCTTTCTCTCTGTCTCTCTGTCTCTCTCTCTCTCACTGTCTAACTCTGCCTGTCAAAAATAAAAAAATAAAGGCATTTCCCAGGGAAAGTTTTCTGCAACCTCTTGAGCTTTGGTCCTGTTATTGGAATGATTCTCCAAAGGAAACCTCTTTGAATGATGTATAATTTCTATGAATAACTTCAAGTATGATTTTATTTACTATTTGAAAAGCAGAGAGAGAAATGGAGAGATCTTTTATCCTCTGGTTCACTCCCTAAATGCCCACAACAGCTGGGACAGGGACTCATTCCAAGTATCCCACATGGTGGCAGGGACCTGGTTCCTTGAACCATCACCTGCTGCCTCCCAGGGTGAGCATGCCAGGAATCTGGTATCAGTAGTGAAGCTGAGACTTGGAGCCCAGGCACTCTGATTGGGATGTGGGTGTCCAGATGGTGTCTAAGCTGCGCTAAATGCCTGCCCCTTGTGTTATTTTTTTTTAAAGATTTATTTATTTATTTGAAAGTCAGAGTTACACAGAGAGAAGAAAGGCAGATAGAGACAGAGGTCTTCCATCTGTTGGTTTGCTCCCCAATTGGCCATAAGGGTCAGAGCTGTGCCGATCCAAAGCCAGGGGCTTCTTAAGGGTCTCCCATGTGGGTGCAGGGGCCCAAGGACTTGGGCCATCTTCTACTGCTTTCCCAGGCCACAACAGAGAGCTGGATTGGAAGTGGAGCAGCTGGGACTTGAACCAGTGCCCATATGGGATGCTGGCACTGCAGGCGGCGGCTTCATCCGCTATGCTTTAGCCCTCCCCCTCATGTGTTTATTTTTAAAATCTGTCATATCACCTTAAGAGTATAGCATGTGTCTATGTGTATATATTTACATGTTATCAAGGCATCAGAGCATAATAATTCTTATTGTTGGGTAATAGTTGGTAGTCTTATCAAGAAAAGTTTTACTCACATCTCTTTAGTACTTCAGATTCCCTAGAATTAAGCAGTGTGGTGCTTGTTTACTAACATAGGCATCTTGAATAAGGGCTGAGCCATCCCTGTGTGGGTGTAGAGCCACAATTAAACACAAATAACTGCATGGCAAGAAGGCACGTGGAAGAGATTATGTAACCGTTGTAAACTACAAGTTAATTTTTAAAGATTTATTTATTATTTGAAAGACAAAGTGACAGAAAGGGAGAGAGACACAGAGATCTTTCATTCATTGGTTCACTCCCCAAATGGCCACAACAGCTGGGGCTTGGCCAGCCCGAAACCAGGAGCCCAGAGCTTCATATGGATCTCCTGTGTGGGCAGCAGGGGCCCATACTTGAGCCATCTTCTGTTGCCTTCCTACGCACAGTAGCTGGGACTCACACAGGCACTCTGATACGGGCTGCTGGCACGGCAAGCAGCAGCTTAACCCATTGCCACCATAACTCCAGCTTGATAAACTTTGAGTTTAACTCTTTAGCTTAAAGCTTACTGGTGGCCTTGCTAGTGTGCTTACGTAAATATAACACATCCTCAAGAAAGCTGAGCATCTTTGAGTCCCTTCTTTACTTGCACTGGGTTAAGGAAGCTGTCACATTTTCACCTTGTCTTTACTGAGTACATGCTCTGTGGATAACATTGAATTAAACACTGGGGAACCTGGAATGAATAACAGATTCCTGGATCTGGCAACAGCTTTTCCAGCATAATAAATGTGTTCAGTAAAATATACATTTTAAGACCAATCTATGTGGAATCCCAGTATATTTTTTTTAAGACTGATCACTGGGGGCCAGGGCCGTGGCTCACTTGGTTAATCCTTCACCTTCAGCGCCGGCATCCCATATGGGCACCAGGTTCTAGTCCTGGTTGCTCCTCTTCCAGTCCAGCTCTCTCCTGTGGCCTGGGAGAGCAGTGGAGGATGGCCCAGGAGGAAGCGCCTGGCTCCTGGCTTTGGATCGGTGCAGCGCCAGCCGTAGCAGCCATTTGGGGAGTGAACCAACGGAAGGCAGACCTTTCTCTCTGTCTCTCTCACTGTCTATAACTCTACCTGTCAAATAAATTTAAAAAAAAAAAAAGAAAAATAAAGACTTTTATTTATTTGAAAGACAGTGTTACAGAAAGAGGTAGAGACAGAGAGAGAGGTCTTCCATCTGCTGGTTTACTCCCCAGATGGCCACAATGGCCAGAGCTGAACCGATCCAAAGCCCGGAACCAGGAGCTTCTTCCTGGTCTTGATGTGGTTGCAGGAGCCCAAGGACTTGGACCATCCTCCACTGCTTTCCCCAGCGCATTAACAGGGAGCTGGATGGGAAGTGGAGCAGCCAGGACTCAAACCTGTGCCCAAATGGGATGCTGGTATTTTTTTTTTTTTTTTTTTTTTTTGACAGGCAGAGTGGACAGTGAGAGAGAGAGACAGAGAGAAAGGTCTTCCTTTGCCGTTGGTTCACCCTCTAATGGCCGCCGCGGCCAGCGCACTGCGGCCGGCGCACCGCGCTGATCCGATGGCAGGAGCCAGGTGCTTCTCCTGGTCTCCCATGGGGTGCAGGGCCCAAGCACCTGAGCCATCCTCCACTGCACTCCCTGGCCACAGCAGAGAGCTGGCCTGGAAGAGGGGCAACCGGGACAGAATCCGGCGCCCCGACCGGGACTAGAACCCGGTGTGCCGGCGCCGCTAGGCGGAGGATTAGCCTAGTGAGCCGCGGCGCCGGCCGGGATGCTGGTATTGCAGGATGGGGCTTTAACCCACTGCACCACAGCCCTGGCCCCTCAGTAAATATGTATTGAGTACCTAGCACTCTGGAGAAGGTTACAGGCAAGTACTTGGACAATGATAGGATGTGCAAAGTCATAGTGCTCTGATGCAAAGAGAGACAGTTCTGAGAGCAGATCAGAGGGTCACCAGAACCCCTCCTGGGAAGGTCAGGGAAGGTCGGGAAGTTAGCTAGAGGGAGTGATGGTTAACAAGACCTGCGGGGTGGGTAAGAGTTAGTGAGGCAGCTTGGAGAGGAAAGGTAGTGTCATGAGGGAGAAACACGTGAAGGAAATTCAAGATGAGAGCCTTGGAAGTGGTGGGCATTGCGGGAGCACAGACGGGGAGG